GAAAGAGTGGCCAAGCATTGGAACAGGCTGCCCAGAGAGGTGGGGGAGTCCCCATCCCTGGGGGGGTTCAAAAAACGGGCAGACGTGGCACTTGGGGCCATGGTTTAGTGGGCATGGGGGTGTTGGGTTGATGGTTGGGCTGATGATCTTGGAGATCCTTTCCAACCTTAGTGATTCCTAGTTTTTACTTTCATTAAAAAACAATCCAGCCACCAAGCCAGGAAACATGAAATTCTTACTCTCCCCTGAATTGGTTTAGTGGTGGGCTTGGCAGTGTTAGGTGAATGGTTGGACTGGATGAGCTTAAAGGTCTTTTCCAACCTCAATGATTCTACAGTTCTGTGGTGTCAAGACACCATTCAACCCCTCTGTGCTTCCTCTGCGCCCAAAACGGGCACCCCACACCAGACAAGCCTGCGTGCAGGGTAAGAACCTTGAACAGAAATCCAAGCAGGACTTGGGCATCCCCCAAGGGACATTTTAGCAGAGGCCGGCAGGCGAGGTGGGCCATCTAGGACAAATCCCCCGTCTCCAGCCCTTCCCTGTTGCGACTCTTTTACAAAGACCACTTGCCTGTTAGACTCCTCTCCTTTGTAATAGTCTGCAGCCTGCTCGTAGTGCGCGATCGCCTGGGGACAGAAACACCACACATGAATGCCGCTTCTGAAGTACGAGTTTTGGCCAGGGCAGCATACAGCGACCGCGTTCGCAAAAGCTTTTCCATTCCGTGCGCAAAGGGCACGGCGCACCGCGGGGTTTCTGGTGGAGCGAGGCGTGGCCGCGCATCCCCCGCGCACTCGAAACGCGAGGCTGCCCTTGGAAATTTGACCCTGAACTTGTGAAAGAGTCCTGAACGCCAGTGCAGGTTTAATGCAGGTGACACGACTCTCAAGGTAACGACCACAAACACACACCATCACAGTGCGACAAGGCTCCTGCCAGCTTTACCGCTATATAATAAATCGCTTAACAGAACAGCCCTGACATGGCAGGGCTTGATTTAAGCGGGGCGGCACGTGGAGGGGCAACACTGAAGTCATTCGTAGAGATAGATAGGATCCAATGAAGTGGAGCTGAGGAAACAAATGACCGTCTAGAAAATGGTACCTAGAAACCACGAATTTTTGTTCTGCAAACTTCAAGCGGAAGATTTGCAGCCAGTTGAGGTGCAGCAGGATTCCTGCTCAGGGACCTTGGTTACAGGAATGAGAGAGGGTCGGTGCTGAACTATAAGTAACAGCAGCTTCCTTTGGGGAAAAAATAGCTATAAAACCATGCCTGCAACTTTTCCAAAGCGCTTTTCGGATGTGAAACACCGCTTCACTGGAGATTTCTCACCTAGGCGTTTCTGCCAGCCCCGTCGCACCGCAGCTCAGCGGAGGGGCACACAAAAAGAGTCAGGATTGCCCCGCCACAGGCCCGCACTGGGAGAAATCATCGCTCACCCTCTTAATGCTTAACTTCACGTTACGGGTGGCTTGCACCTACATAAAGAAGCCCGGCATGGGATGAGAGACAGGCTTTATCGGCCATGCCGAGCTCAGCGCTGCTCTGGCCGGGGAAGCAAATGCAGCCGCCACCACCGCAGTGCCTGCGGAGCGGTACCAGCAGCGCCCAGCACCCTTACCTTTTCAATATCTACCAGCTCGGCCTCGTAGATCTCCGCAATGGTGATGTGGTGCTTGGCAGCGATAGTGAATCGCCCCTAGAGAAGGCAGAGGTCGCAGGTGAGACGGGGGCTGCTCCCCCTCCGCCCGGTGCGCACAGCGTTTCCCCGAGCTGCAGCTCTTATGAGCGCGTGGCTGCACGCGCTGCCAGCGCAGCTTCTTACCATGTCGGTGTAGATATCGATAGCTGCATTTAAGCAGTTGATGGCCTCTGCAGCATGAGTGTTCAGGAAAAACAACAAAGTCAGCCAGCACACATCAGACTTCCCAGCCCAAGACCTCCCCCCCCAGCCTCCAAAAACCAGATCTCGGCAACGTTTCTCTTCGTCAGACCACAAACCAGCTTCTTCAATATCTACCCACGCACGTACGTATGTACGTCTGGAACAACAGACGTACCTTTTTCAACCCCTGAGACCCACAAGATGGAGCTTAATGGGCTCAAGCTGCACCAGGGGAGGTTTAGATTGGATATTAGGAAAAATTTTTTCACGGGAAGAGTGGTCAAGCATTGGAACAGGCTGCCCAGAGAGGTGGGGGAGTCCCCATCCCTGGAGGGGTTCAACAAACGGGCAGAGGTGGCACTTTGGGACATGGGTTAGTGGGCATGGGGGTGGTGGAT